CTACGAAACGAGACGTTGAGAGCACCCGTTATCCAATTAATATCTTCCAGTTTCCTAGACGACAGCCACAACAATGTTCGTGTTTCCGCTTCGTCCCTCATGTTCAATTTGGCGCTTTTCAGCAACAAAGTCAGGCGTGAGAAGCCTGGAGACGTGTTGCCAGACGGCGACGCGGTAGAGCTGGCTGCATCGGTGTTAGAAGCCATTGGACAAGAGGAGTCTTCGCCAGAGGCACTGCAGGGTATGCTTCTTGCACTGGGTAACTTGGTCTACTGCACACCAAGTGACAGTGAGGTATCGGATTTGCTGAGGGCGATGGATGCGGAGGACACGATTTTGGCCAAGAAGAAGCAATTTCCAGATGAGAAGATCATCGTAGAGGTGGGCTCAGAGCTTCTGGGCAAGGGGCTTAGACGGCCGTAACTTGGTTTGCGTCGGTAACAGTTATAGAATACACTAGACTGCGTGGCGTTTGGTACAGGTTGGGCGTTGACACCGTCAAAGAGGTGCCGAGTGTACACTAGACTTTTGTTTGCAGGGCGATTTGTTTACACGAATGGAGCACGACTGTCTGTCATCTGATTCTTCCACAACACACCGGCACCGACGCCTTTTTGCGCATCTCTGTGAATAAGCGGCCCTTCCTCCGTCTAGCAAAGACCAAAAAAATCATCACTTACCCAATTGAATCTGAATCCCTTTTCCCTCATTTCATTTGCCAACAAAAAGCAAATCGACGACACTTTCCAAGAACGTACTTGCAACACCCCTGCGTTCCTACCCCAGGCGAACAACACACCGCATAGCTAGTGTGGCGTCACTGCCCCGGCAACTCGGCCCCACCAGTTTTCCTCCCAATTGGGCAACCGAGTAAACAAGCCCGACCGCCTCGAGTTGGGATGTGGGCTTCGCAAAGGCAACGATACCACGCAATTTTTGAAGAATTGAAGCAGACCCTTTGTGGATTGTCTCTCGATCATCGACTGCTACCGCCAGCGGTTTATGAGATGCCGGCTCTCTACTCGTCTGCTTCAACCCCGTCTCTGCGGTCGCACGATGGACCGGTCAGAATGGACGGGGGAGGCAATGTTCGTGTCGTTGTCCGAGTGCGGGCGTTTCTGCCCAGAGGTATGTCGAAGGCTTCCTAGAACGACGTAGAAGAAAAAGAAGAAGGAGCCTGATGAAAGAAACCAGAAATCGAGCGTGGTGCCGAGTGCCTAGTGGAGATGGACCCCATCACCCAGCAAACGACGCTTCTCGTGCCCAACGACAGCGACCCTGCGAACGCGAAAGCAAAGACGAGAAAGGTTATCGAAGAAAAGAATTTTACATTCGACAATTCTTTCTGGAGTCATGATCTCAGCGACAAGTATTATGCCCACCAGGAAGACGTCTACAACAGTCTGGGCGAGGAATTCCTTGACCACAACTTTGAGGGCTATCACACATGCATCTTCGCCTACGGTCAAACAGGTTCCGGAAAGAGTTATACGATGATGGGAACACCAGACCAGCCGGGCTTGATTCCTCGAACGTGCGAGGATCTCTTCGAGCGAATCGAATCTGCGCAAAACGAGACGCCCAACATTTCCTACAACGTCAGGGTGTCATACTTTGAGGTCTACAATGAGCACGTCCGGGACCTGCTTGTCCCGGTTGTGGCTAACCAGCCGCCGTACTATCTCAAAATCAGGGAGTCGCCAACGGAAGGACCGTACGTCAAGGATCTGACCGAGGTTCCTGTCCGCAATCTCAATGAGATTTTGCGATACATGACGATGGGAGACAGGTCGAGAACCGTGGCCAGCACCAGAATGAACGACACGAGTAGTCGCAGTCACGCGGTATTCACAATCATGCTCAAGCAGATCCACCATGACATGGAAACGGACGAGACGACGGAGAGAAGTTCGCGTATCCGCCTGGTCGATCTGGCTGGCAGCGAACGTGCCAAGGCGACCGAGGCAACAGGCCAGCGGCTTCGCGAAGGCAGCAACATCAACAAGTCGCTGACGACCCTTGGCCGAGTGATAGGAGCGCTCGCCGATGCCAAGGCGGGTTCGAGAAAGCGTAGCAAAGACGTCGTGCCGTACCGAGACTCAATTCTCACGTGGCTGTTGAAGGATTCGCTGGGAGGCAACAGTAAAACGGCAATGATTGCTTGCATCGCGCCGTCGGATTACGAGGAGACTCTGTCGACGCTTCGCTACGCAGATCAAGCCAAGCGCATCCGCACGCGCGCGGTTGTCAACCAAGACCAGATCTCGTCAGCGGAGCGCGATGCCCAAATCGCAGCTATGGCGGACGAGATCCGAGCCCTTCAGCTGTCAGTGTCGGAATCGCGCCGGCGGGAGAAGGATACCAAGGACCAGGAGGAAAAGCTCGAAGAGTACCAGAACCACGTGGCTACGATGCAGCGCATGATGGAGGAGCGCAGTCTCGTCGCCGAGGGCAAAATTCGTAGCCTGCAGACAGAGAACGAGGCCTTGCGGCTGCATCTCAAGCTCGCGCTCGAGAGTCTCAAGAACCCGATCCCGGCCGTCACGATCAAGCCGCCGGAGGCCGAGGAAGTGGAGGACGAGGCTCAGAGGGCCAAGTCGGCGGGTCTCGAGGACGCCGAGTCATTGTACGACGACTCGGACGACACGGCGTACGACTCGGACGTTATGGAGGATAATGCCAGCGACATGCAGGAGTACATGCGCAGTCTGCTGAGCGATCTGGGCATGTTCCGAAGGAAGATTGGAGACGACAAAGAACGCTGGGTCGGCGAGGCGCCATCTGCAGGAAGCAAGATGAACTTCTAAAGTTATATGTGTAGGGGGGTTTGATGAATGAGTTGCGGGCGACAGAGCTCGGCTATTGATTGTTACGAAGCGCCAAGACGACAATGGTAAGCATGGTGTTTGGGGAGTCCTTCTTGTTCTTCGGGGTTTACTTTGTTTAGGAGAGAGACAGAGAGACAGAATCCATAGTCTGCAGTCAACACATAGTACATGGCACATGAAGACTCTCGTACTGGGTTGAGACCAGTGATGATAACGCAGTGTGGATAAATGGCTGTTTCCTCTGTCGGGACACGTCACGATTGAAACTCGCAGGAACACGATCCGGCCTGTCAGATCTCATGGAAAGTGGGCGGGTGTTCTTTGCTTGTTCCCATTGATCTCAAACAGGGGATCCGTTCTGGCGGTGCTTCACAAGTCAAGGTGCATGGAGCAAGGCGCGGGAGGGCCGTCGGGGGCCGCTACGCGCCGCTTGCGCCATCTCTAGAAATACACAGTCAACTGTCCCATTGAGAGTACTGCAAATTGGGAATACGCCGATCGTCGAGAGCCGAAGAGGGATGTCGTTGTTGGGGTTAGACAGGGTTTGTGGTTGGCATGGATGAAGCATCCGGAAGAGACGACGGCGAAGCAAGCCAGCGAACTACATTGTCAGGGGGAGGAGTTTCGAGACAGCGGTTTAGTTCTTTCGACGGCGGGCAACGTGCTCCGGAAGCCGTTGGCCGTCGAAACTTTGACGTGCGTCTATGTCCGTGTTGAGTGTCAAACTTGCCAGCCCTAGGAATCCAATGTCCGACGGGAGTTTTGAGAGTTGGATGGACATCGAGGTAAACGGCTTTCGTTTGGGTGTGCCAATTCAAGAGGCTCTCGCAATCGCAAACTTGATAATGCGCTCTATTTGTTGTGAAGATTGGCTTTGCGCCTCCTCTTTTTTCGATTTCCATATCTGGACTATTGAACTGAGTATTGGATGAAGCTTGATGTTTATTCCCTAAGTATAGTTCGGGTGCAAACGCCGTTTGGGTTTTTAGTTTTCTTCTCCGGCGAGGCTGCCCGAAGCAGCTTGCGATCAGTTGGTTTGCCTTACAATGTTTTGATCGTCACGGAAGATCGTGAGGAGTTAGTTTGCTAGTCAACTCGTGGTCTGTATATGGCGGCGGCTCATCGTCGTGTGGCCCTGTTTGCCGTGCTTTCCGCGGGGATGCATTCGTAGGAGCCAACACGTCTCGGATATTCAACGTCGCAGCTTTTTGCGATATACCGTCCTCGAGATCCATCTTAAGTTTTCTTCCTTTTTGACTTTAAGGGGTTCGTTCCTGTCTGATATGCGAGTGATTTCTAGAGGATTGCCAAAAGGGCGAAGAGCGCGAGAAAAAGGTTGAGTGAACGGGCTGTTAGTTGAGCCAGGCGTCGAACCCGACTCTCGAGCTTTGAAGTGTGCGAGTGGTTAGAGAGCGTGCATTAGTGTGACTATGACGAAGTTTTCCGAGAGTCAATTGATCTTGTAGGTGCATCTCCTTCTCCGCTCCGTTTGATAATGTTGAGCAGCTCAGACGTTGGATGGGATGTTAAGGGTCATAGCTGGACACATGTTGACTGAGGTATCCAGAAGAATGTGCCTTCTTCCACGGTAGACATATTCAGGCTTGCAGTCAGTTTACAATATGCTCTGGACCATTATTGGCAGGCAACTGCTTATCGAGGTAGGCAAGGCACCTGGCCTCGCTCGGATCAGCTCCTCTTCGACAAGTTGGAAACTCGAGGGGAGGTTGCGTAAGTTGCGGTTTCCAACGACATCTGCGCGTGAGGCACCTTGCAATCCCATGGCGGCACACGCCTCGTTCCTGGTCCCTGTTCCTGGAAGCTGGAAAACCCCCCTGCCAGGCGGCGACCCTGCTCATTTACACCACCCTCAGAAACCGCCGAACCGAAAAGAACAGCTGTATTTGTATGGTATTACGGAGTAACGTGGGTAATAACCTTCCTTCTCGAACGTGAGCCTGAACATCCGGTCTTTGCTCCCCTTGTCCACCCTCGTCGCCGCGACTTATCACTGGCCGCGCCGGCGGCTGGATGTTTCAGGGCGGTAAGATGTTCCCACCAAAGTTCTAAGTACCATCTCCCGGATTCCTTCTTCGCTTCCTGTGGATCGACTACTGTGATACCGTCCCAGCCGTTGATGAACTCATCGGCTCTGGGTTTGCCAAGTTGCCAATGCCAGTCGGTTCCAGCGTCTCCAGACATCACAGTCAGATCGGGACGGACGGCCGTGACGGCTGCCGCGGAATGTCACCTTGGGTCCGTACCTACCTAGGTACACGGCAGGCTACGGCAGGACCGCAGGAGGATGCCGTTGCCGTTTCGCTTGCGTGCCTCATGTGTGCAGCGGCAGGTTCCTTCCACCACCACCACATGGGCAGCAGGAGCAGAAGCAGGAGCAGGAATCGCGTCCGAGACGTCCTCATTCGCCTGTACCTTGCAGAGTACCTAAGGTACATGTGCATCTGTACGTACCCGTGCAGCCAGGAAATACTGGACATTGTACACTCGGACGGTTCGTGTATCGTCCCGTCTCCTTTTCCCCTTTCCCCCGTCGAGATTCTGACGACTCTTTTGAGAAGTTGAGTCTGGAGCCTGCTCACTTCTCACTTGTTCTCTCGGGGCTCATATGCCATTGCCCACAGGACCAAGGTGCCCTGTCCTGCTGCGCTTCAGACCTCAGATCTAAGCCCCGGAGTGACCATTGACCGGATTTCGAAGCTCCCTGCCCACTCTACCTTATCCAGACAGATCTCCTAGACTCCCGCCCTCTACTTATCCCGCCCATAGCAAAGATGCCCTGCTCTTTGGGACCGCCTGGAGTGTCGTCTTGTGTTGCCGCCCTAGGTTTCTGATGCCCCCTGTGGTGTAGGTACCTCGCAGAATGTATCCGCCCTCCATGCTCTGAAGCACAAGAAAGAGGAGCACCATCGAGGTATCTTGAGTGTCGCCGTGACGAGAGATGGGATGAAATGAGATGGACAGCTTCTTGCTTAATACCCCTACCTCGCCGCGGACTCGTCCTCGGGTCTCTTCCTTCCCTTTCTCTCTACCGCCTCTCCCTCGGTCGTCGTCCTGTTGCATCTTTACGATTCTTTGTCACCAACTCCCTGAATACAACCGTCGAGTCATTCAGAGTTGCAAGGAACCCGATCCCCAGCTGCTGTCATCAGTCGTCACGCCTTGTTCTGTCTAACAGGTATCTTCTGGTCCACTTGTGTCCCTCTGTCGGGTCCCTGGCACTAGGTAACTGACACTTGAGAGGAACACCACCGGGCGCCAAAGCAAGCTGCAAGACAAGGGCATCTGTTCCTGACAATCAAATCTCCCCTCCCCGCGCCATCTCGCTGTCTGATCTGCCAATACGGATACTCCTTACAGACTACGGATACGTACGAACAGGCTGTATCTGTACTCCCCCAGACAAGTCCAAGAAACCCACCAAACCGGTCCTTTCATTGGCGATTTCCAAACAAGCCCAAGCCTCCCGTCTCTCTCCACGTCTTCTCCTACCGGGCCAACAACCACGTTACCACACACACAAGCCAAGTCAGCAACCAGCACACAGCAACTATACAGTAAAGGACGCCGGCCCTCAGGCACTTAAGCGTGCCCCGTCCCCCGACCCGTCAACGGCCTGCCCACTTCTGCCCCTCGTTGCTACATTAGGCACCGCCGCACTCCACTCAGCCAACCAACGACCAGCGACTCAAAAAAGCAAGGGCATCTCATTCTGGCAGCGTGTAACTTGTCACTGTGTCCCGTCCGTCGTCCCTCTTAAGGTACCTCTCTCGGTCACGCCTACCCGACCCCCGATCCCCGACCAGGTCCAGCGGGCAAGCGACGCAACATACGACCTCAACTTCACCTTCGACCGGACACTTGCCTTGCGACTCAACACTCGACACCCTTTTCCGTCTTCTTGCTGCTGCGACTTCACCTGCTGTTGCCCTTCCTGTGCATTTTCATCTCGATACCCCCTTTCCACCGCCCTCCCAACCACTTCACACGCCATGGCCGCCAGACCTGCCCTCTTCACCCGTGGCCTGTCGGGGCTTTCCCAGAGCACAACCGACCCCAACTCGCCCAGTGTCAGCTCCCCGGCCGACCAGCGTGACGATGCAAAGCGCAACTTCCTCAAGGCCATGCGCCCTCTGCCCACACAACATTACTGGAATGTCTACTTTGACAAGTGAGTGCTCCTCTCGAAATTACCACAGTGTCTGTCCTCAGGCGCCTGTCCCAGATCTTGCGCAACCCCACCCCCACCACCCCTGAAGCTTTCAAGACTAACGCCCAATACTCATTACTCCAGACAAGCAAAGGACCAGCAAAAGTCGGGCAACGATGAGGAGTACAAGGTGCAGCTTGAACAGCTTGGTTCGCAGATAGAATCCGTCCAGGACTTTTGGAAGTACAACAACAACACACCCGTCGATCAGATCAAGATGCGCGAGTCCATATACCTCTTCAAGCAGGGCTTCAAGCCCATCTGGGAGGACCGCCGCAACATCAACGGCGGCGCCTGGACCTTCCGTGTGCCCAAGAACATTGGTCCCGATGTGTGGACTCGCGTTCAGCTTCTTGCCATTGGCGAGAAGCTGCAGAGCGTACTAGACGACAGTATGTCGCCCTCTCTTCCGTGTCTTCTTGCATCTCCTTCACCACAAGCGCAACTAAGCTAACCCTTGACTACCTCCAGACGACCAGATTTGCGGTGTTGGTCTGTCCGTCCGCTTCAACTCCCACCTCATCTCCATCTGGCACCGCGACGGCTCCAAGCAGAAATCCGTCGATGCTATCCTGGAATGCGTACTCGAAGAGCTCCCCGCCGAGCTGCGCCCCAAGGCCGATAACTACTTCTACAAGCGTCACCAGGACCATGCCGGCTTCAAGGCACCTCCCGAGCTCCAAGTCGTTATCGACTCACAAAAGGCGGCCGCTGACAAGGCCAAGGCTGCAGCCGGAGGTGTGCCGGCTTAGAAGGCCGGCCGCGTCCCTCCGCACTCTGCCCCCTTTTAGGGCCTTGCTGGGGTCTGAGAGGGTCTTTGCTGCGGCTCCGAGGCCCAGCAGCGTGGCCTCTGCATGAATCCCCCTCCTGAGCCCTTTCTCTTCTCTGCACAAAAGGCAACCCCCATCCAGTGACAGACACAGCGGTGAGGAGGAACCTCACTTGGTCTTAATCTCACCAAATATACGGGAATGGGAATTTATATGTGTTTTGTTTTGTTGGGCAAATCAGGTTAAGTCCGTACTCAATCTCAGGCCACGGTAATTGGCAACGCACCAACACACAAGGAACAAGGCCGGAATAAGCATATGTCATGGGCGTTTTCTTGTTGTCTCTTTGATTAGCATGGAAATACAAACTCTCGGGGGCGATGAAGATATCACACCCCACGGGTGCCATATGGGCTGCACCGAGATCAGATAGAATCATCATTACCACCGGTACTTACCAAAGTGTTCCAGGGACTGCAGCATATTGCAGTTACTCGTGTGGATTGTGAACCTTGAAGCCGTGGGATTGAAGTTCGAACCATGATAATAGAAGTAGCCCGTAGATGCTATAAGCGCGCCCTAAAACAATGAAAGAAGGAAAATGCAATCGCCGTGCCTCCCAAACGCCAGCACAATGGGGTATAATGCAGGACCAAACCCGCCACATAGACCACGAAGCCTCTCAACGTCCAACCCAGCCAGTGAGGTAGATCGCACGCGCGCGCGCAATCATCGCCAAACCCCAGCCCGCCGCATAACCTCCTCAAACTCGTCCCTCCTCACTCCCTTGCCTACGCCCGCGCCGCCGTTGGCTTCGAGGATCATATCCCGCAGCACCTCGTCCTTGACGTCCTCCCTAAGCACGGCAGCAACCCTCTTGAGGTCCGCAATCGTTATGACATCCCGTGGGCCAGCAGAACCCGACGCCGAAGAACCTCCGCCAGCCCCGGCCCCCGTGAAAAGCCCAAACGCCTCCTCCACCTCCCTCCTCCTCGCCTCCCCTCCGCCCCGTTCTTCCCTCTGATGATACTTCAACGCACACACGGCGAAGAACGGCTCGTAGGCGACGAAGCCTTCGCCCTCGGGGTCCAAGATCTCGACGAACTCGGCCTGCTCGTCGCGGGAGGAGGGCGGGATGCCGAGGGCGACGAGGCAGGAGCGGACGTCTGATGTGGGGATGACGCCTTCTTTGGAGTAGCCTTTGAGGGGTTCGGCAAACAGGGAAAAGGCTTCGCGGATCTCGCGCTCTTCGTGGGCGGAGATGTTGTGTTCTTTTGCGAGTTTGGAGGCGCGGGGGCGGGGGACGTCTGTTGTTGAGGAGGAGGGTTTTTGGGTTGGCGGTTTGCGTTTTGCGGGCTTTGGAATTGGCGTGTTAGTTTTGGGTGGGTTGAGGATTGCGAAGAGGGTGGTGGTGGTGGCTTACCATTTTGGAAATCTTGGATGGAGTTGAGATGCTGATTCGGTGTTTTGGAGGAGTTTTGTTGGCTGCGGGAGAGGTGGTGGGATTTGGAAAACGTGGTCGTCGCAAGCACGAGCGAGGCAGGTGCTTGAGAGCTGGAGGTCAATGACGATGGTTGCGCCGGGAAAGAGCGCCGGGGACGCGTTAATGGGTTGTGGAGCCACGCGTGTTCGAATACAGTGCACTGACCATGTGCGCGAAGTTTCGCTCGCACGATTAGCCCGCCCCGCCGTTGCAAAAAAAATTCAACATAAAACCTTCCGCAAACTACGGTTCCTCTCCTTTCTCAACCATCACAACCTCACGACACTCACTCACTGTGAGGAGCGTCGACTACCTCAACCATGAGACCTCCCACACCAGCTCTAGCGCCTTGCGATTGAACAGAGAGACCGACGATAAGCAGGCCGTTCACCGGATCCTGCGCGCGCACTTCGCTCTCTGCTTCACTTCCCATTGCCGATCACATGGACCATTTTCACCAAAAACCTCGAGACCTAGGCAACGTGGTCGAAGAGAACAGTAGTTTACGGATCTATCAAAACCGCCTCCACACTCTGCCATAGGTCAAAGCTGCCTAGAGGAAGTGTGCCTCATACTCAAAGCTCCACGGCCTCCGCGCCGGACCTGCGCCCAGCAAATCTGGGATCCTGCATTCATACCAAACTCCAAAATGGATCACACCACACGGCTATTCATGCCCTCTTCCTACGCGGCGCTTCCAAGTCGGGGAGTTTCCAGCTGCAACATGCCATTGCCACACCCGCAAGGCATCACAACCCGCCAAACATGGCACCCTCTTCGTGGTTTCCTTTCCTCGTCCCCAGCGGGACTAGACAAAGAACCACCGTCTTCAAAACATTGAGACGAACTTGGAAAGAAAACCAAAAACATGATATGACACAGCTTCTAAAAAATGCTAGAGCTTGCCGCTTTCTTACCCAGAGCGAGCACGTGTGGACAGTGAAGCAAGATTAAACAAACGGGGGCGCGTCGCAGGACGTACCGCCCCTTCCCCGGCTCACACTCTCGCTTCAATCACTTGTGGTTGTCGCGTTTAGGACCTGTGGGAGACATGCTCGTGACGCGATGATGTAGTTTTGATGACTTTGATGTTCACCGTCTGAGAAGTAGTGATAGACGTGGCTGCTGTGCTTTTGATTTCGCGGTCGAGAGACTGCTCTCGCATACTGCCTACTTCAAACTCTTGCAATATGTCCTATGGTCTAAACTTGCCGGCCCCCATTTGAGCAATCTCATCATGTTAGATCTTGGAATCAGGAGGTGGACTATTCATCCGTCAGATTTGCTCATGGCATTACTACCGGCCCAAGTGCCACGTCCCATAGCAGGCCGACGCCGTCGGAGAAGAATACCATACGACGAAACGGGAGGGGGATGGAAACCTGCCACTTACTCACTTGAAGTTATTCTTCATCTCACGCAACTTGTTCATGACGGAAACGGGCTCGCTCTCCCCCGTCACCCTCTGAATCTCGGGGTCCTATTTCGTGACAAATATCACCATCAGCCTCTGTGTCTCTCCAAGGCGAGAGTGCCCGCGAGGCTCCACGGGGGCAAAGGGCCTGTAAAAACTCACCTCGACGCGCATAAAGACGTTGTGTTTCTGTGTTTTCAAGCAGTCGTTAGCTCATCTTCCCCAACCTTACTCTCGTACTTCCACGTTGTTGCGAAAGGGGGGGGGGGGGGGACACTAGGAATAACATACCTTCTCATCCCCAATCGTAAACTTGCCCTGCGTCTCCTTGTTGTTCTCCGCGAACGCCTGCAGCTTCTGGATCGCCTCGTTCTGCAGCACCGACGCGGCGAACTTGACGTTGGATTTGGTGTATTCGTGGCCGGGCTTTGTTTGTGCTCTGTCAGCAATGATGCCCCCCCTTGTTCCAAGCTTCATCCTGTTCCTGGATCAAGTTTGATGAGAAGTGCAAGAAACTCACAAACACGACCGTGTCGTCGGGAAGCGCGGCCAGCGTCTTGTTCAGCGCGCTGTGCATCTCCTCCGCGTTACCCTCGAAGAACTTGCCGCAACCTGTCGGAAAGTAAAGAAGGATAGTCAGCAAAAGAATCTCTAGCAGCTACGCCCCTTCTTCCCCCAACAGGGAACCTCTCCTTCTCAAAGGCATCTTCTCCCTCGTGATGGTGATGATTATCGAGAGACAAACCCCGCCCCGCATTGTCACCGTCCAAGGGACGAAAAGGAGGCGATGGGTTGGTGGGGAAAAAATCGGGCAAACGATGGGAACCCACCGCTGATGAAGAGCGTATCGCCCGTAAACACAACCTTCTGGTCCCCGTCCTGCATGAACCAGCAGATGCTGTCCTGCGTGTGGCACGGCGTGTGCAGCGCCTTGACGGCGATGCCCTCGCCAATCTTGAACGACTCGCCGTGGCCCGGCGTCCGCGTCACGCCCTCGCAGTCCTTGCCGCCGATGATGGGGAGCTTATTCAGGCCCAGCTCGCCTTGCTGTTTTTCTGTGTGTGAGTCCGGGCGAGACGGGGGAAAAAAAAAGGGGGGGGGGGGGATCCAAGACGTACCAGCTTTTTGTTTCCGCCTGCGTGGTCCCAGTGGCTGTCAGAGATGTCAGATACGCGCACAATGTCTCGAGGGGATTCCCCGCGTCGTTTGTGAATTTTTCTTAAGGACGAGAGTCTCACTGGTGCGTGTTGACGATGGCTGTGAGGTTGATCTCGCCGCTCTTGATAGCATTTTGCAACACGGGAGTCACTCTAGAGATGGTTGTCAGCTTAAGCTCGATACACGACGCAACCGCAGTCCAAGATGCCCTTCCTCTTTCCCTCAGATTCATGAGTAATGGGGGAGAAACACTTACTCGGACGGGTTGGCCGGGTCAATGATGACGGCATCATTGGTCTTGTCGTCCTTGACCAGGTAGGCGTAGTTGTTACTACTGCCCACCCCTGAAAACAAGTTAAAATCTCATGCCAGTATGATGGAAACATATACTCCATCTGCTGCCTCTCACTCCCGTTCTCTCGTGTTTAATAACGAAAAGGGCATCAAGAAGCTTGCGGGAGGTGACGTACACATGGGAATCGACTGGATATGCATAGCGTTGGCGAATGTGAGCTATGGACCTTGTATAAGCTTCCCAATCTCTCACAGATAGCTAATCAACCTAGAACTGAATGGGCAAACACTAGAGGAAAAAAACTCACTGCAGCTGTAACGGTGGCGAGTTTTTGTCTCAGTAGTGGTCTCCTTGCGATGAGGGTATTCATGAAAGGCAATTGTGCAGTGTAGTGAGAGCTGTTTCTTCTGCAGTCAGTTGGGGGATCAGAGCTGTGAGCTGTTGCGTTCGGGAGCTCCTCGGCAAGTCACGGTGACGTTATTACAAATCCGCGAGGGGGCAACGACAGACGACCCGCATCCAATTGGCATCGTCATACCCCACGTGATGTCGCATGTGCACTGCAACAACAACTCCATCAGTGATATCTCGATGCTGAATACCTCACAGGCAAGAGCATTTTCTTTCATAGATGATATGTAGTGATGATGGTATAACGTTTGAATATTCACATATGACACCTGCGGCTGGAGTCGACGATTTACGCGACGCCAATAGGTCGTGGCTTCCAAGTCCTCTCAAACTTGGCCCATCCGGTGCCAGCGCTCTCGGAAGCCTCGTCCTCCTCCATCTCGCCCTGCCCATCTGCTTGTCCCTTGCGCGCAATGTCCTCTGATAACCGCTGAGCCGCAAGCATGACGGCGTCGCTCGGCGGCGCCTCAATAATCTTCTCCAGTGTCGCCAGCAACCGACTCTCGTCCAGCCCGTCAATCCATTTCCTCATCTCAGCCCTCCTCCCAGCGTCCTGCTCCTCCAGAAACGCGACCACGACTTCGCGGCGCACAGGGGCGGCAGAGACGGCGGCGACGGCCACGGGACCCGTCCTTTCGGGGGCCTGGCTCACGACCTCATTAGGCCCCAGGTGCTGCCAGTAATACTCCCAGATCCAAACCAGCGCTTTGCGCGCGGCGGACCGCAGCTTCGCGAGAGACGGCAGCGTCTCGTGCGTCGCCTGGTGCCGCAGCTCGACAAAGGTCGCCGGCAAGCCAATAGTCTTTGCCACCGAGTACATGCTCAGCTTGCGTTGCTTATCCTGATGGCCGTCCAAGAGCCCAGTTACGAACCTAGACGAAAAAAAGAGCAGTGTAAGCAACACCGAACGATCGGCAGGCGGTGACAGTGGCAGATTGATCAATCAAGGGGTGCACCGTGTACCCGAGGCGGAAAAGGCAGGGCTCCCGAAGCCCGGAGGCTCGAGCAATGAATGATCTGGGCAAGACACTTGCAAGCCCTCACACCCATACTGGGTTCTTGAACCGGCGCCCATTGACTACAGGGTGAGAAACGAGCTATGGCATTCCGGGTTTGCAGCGACGGGCCTCAAAGAGGCCATAGGAAGTTTAGCATGCCTCAAGCAAATCAGGCCAAGCTTCCCCCGATGCCAGGAACGTCCCTCAGACCATAGCTCCCAAGTGTACTGTACCGCTGACGCTTCCCGAACAAGGTGAGACGCCCAATTGCAAAACCACGCCGGCTTGCTGGGAATCTTGAAGGGGGGGAGAGAGAGGGTGTGGGTGTACTGGTCGGCGCGGTGTGCGTGTAAGTGAAAGCCTGTCTTGGTGTATGTGGCTTCCAGCAGTCGCGCAGATCAGGCGATTGTTGATGGCCCTTCAGACGGGACCCGACTCGGGTAGGGGGGAGTGAGGGTGAGTGGGCTACGGTACGTACGGTGCTTCGGTGGTGAGAGGGGGGCGTGTGTATGTTTGTGTCGAAGGATGGGTGAAAATGACAGAAAAGTCAAATAAAGATGTGAGATGTGAAATGCGCCGAAATCCAAATGTAGAGGTGACAAAAGAGAAGAGGCGGCCCAGATCCCTGGAGGATTGAGATTGTTTCAAGCCACTCTCTAGAGACAAGACTCCAAGGGCAGAAAGAAGGAGGAAGAGGAGGAGGCGGGCGTAGGACGGAACGTAAAACACCCCTACTAGACTTTCCTTTCTCTCACTGGCACGCCGCACCTTGAACTTGGAACTAACAAACAGCCTTTTTTGGCCCTTGAGATGATGGAGGACAACAGAAAAGAGACAAGTGATAATATCAGAGACAGAGGAGAGGGAGAAGAGAGGGAACTCTGGAGAAAGATGTAAAACGTACCGGCTGAAGGCAGCAGCGTAGGCAGCGCGAACAGCATAGGTGCCGGCGCCGCCCTTGCTCTCGGCGTCGCTGAGGATGGCGGCCGTCAGCAGGGCCGTGGACTCGACCATGTGCGGGCAGTTGCCGCGCTGCATCCACATGGACACCCTCGCGACGGCATGGTGCTTGTCGCTGCTTGGGGTCGTCTTGTTGGTGCTGGTGCTTGTTGCTGGTGCTGATGAACTTGACGATGGCGTCGGCGCTGGTGCTGGCGCTGGCGCGTGTGCTTGTGCTGGTGCTTGTGCTTGTGCTTGTGCAGCTGTTCCTCGTATCCAAGACCTTGTCAGGGCCTGGGATGCGGCGGCCGCGGACGCTGCTGTTGCTGCCGTACCGCTAGCTCGGGCGGCGGATGTGGATGTTGTTGGTGCCGCTGATGCAGACGCTGGGGCAGCGGGATAGAACTGCTGGCGAACCTTGAGCAGCTCGCGGCGATCGCGCCACGGCGTCAGGATGTACTGCACCATTTGCTGGGTGTGTGTAATGTGCCGGGTGTGTGGTGTCCAACTGCGAGAGTGTGTGAGTGTGAGTGGGTGTGCGTCTCTCTGCGCTTGTGTCTGGTTGTATGTGTGAGAGTCTGGATGGCTGGCCGCGGGGAGAGACTTGCTGTACCCAATGTGTCCTGGCCTGCTGGTGTGTGATCGAACGTACGATTACTGACGGTGTGCTCAGATCCGCCCTCGTCTAGCTTTCCTTGACCGGGCTGCCGCTGCTGCTGCTGTACAGACGTGCTATGCTTGCCAGTCTGTCTTTTCCAGAGGGCCCAAAGCCAAATTCGACTCGCGTGTTCCGTTCCGTTTGTCTTTTTCCCCCCAGGTTTCGCTGTCTGCAGCCTTTGCTCCCGACCCCCGTCTGTCTAGAACTCTAGTGGTCCTCAGAAAAGCTGACGACTTGCAGTGTTTCAGGCCCTATGTGTGTGTGTCCCCCCTTGAGAAAGAATGTCGTTCGCTTTGGTTTCGTTTCCTAGTGTGTCGCGAGGGGAGCGCTCGCGGTTTTTGGCGTTACGCTGGAAGCTTTCTTACGGGTTTGCGGCTCAGAACGACTGGACTCGCTCGTTTTCCCCAGACGGATAACCCGGGAGAGTCGAATGGAACCCGTCTGATTTCGTCCCTTGTTCGAATGGCGTTCTAGCCGGGTCCAGTCTGATGGCGGATTTGGGTTTCAAAGGCTCCGTTGAGGAAAATGGGGAAGAGGATAGGATGGGAGGGGGGGAAAAGACATGAGGTTGAAAAAAGTTCAGTTTTGGGACGGGGGGGACTGCGAAATGTGTTAAAATTCCCCGATTAGTATCGAATAGCGGCCGCCCGATCTTCAGATTGCACATTACACCTCACCGCCAACCACATTTCACACACTCATCCACTGTCCCTCACAACTCACACGGCACTCACATTTGCTTACACTCACACGCCCCAAGCTACTTACTCACCTGTGTAGAATAATCCATCTCTCTAGGACACGCAACGCCACCACATGCAACACGTTAATACACTCCTCCCACCTCACTTCACTCACACCAGTCAGAAACGCAAATCAAGTGCAAAAAAGCATCACTCCATTCCACGCGGTTATTCGGACTTATCGTTGTCCTTGTTTTTGATCATCAGACGAAGTGAACCCTCCAATCTCGATATGTCACTCTCCTATGTTGTCTGGCCATGGCGTTTCGTGTGGAGATCCGCTTTCTTCTCATACTGAAAAGTTGAGATGAGTAGCCGCCACGTCCCGTTCTTTGGCCCATCATCACAAGGCGAACTGATCAATCTGAGCATTCCCGCGGACTCAGTCGGTCCACCGAATGATGCATGGTCCGATACACGCGATTACTCCCTTCAAGCTTCACTCCAGACATGACTAGGCAACAATGTAGGAAAACATCATGGACACGTCAAAGCGTTTTCTATTCTTCCCGATGAACAATGTCTAAACTTTTTACTCTGTTCTCATCAAAGTCCAACTGCGCATGCTTTTTTTTGCCCATTCCCACGCATGACAGCTGAACCCGGTAGGTAGACATACAAACACTATCTCGACCAACAAGACCTCCCTAAGACAAGGTCTTCTCAATGAGGTAGATGCCGTACTTGTCCTTGAGCTCCTTCATGATGGGGTCGTTGATCTTGGAGTTCATGGGTGCCAGGACGCCGCGCTCGGCAATGGTGCCGTTGAGCACCTGCTGGACGGCGACACCGCAGGGCACGCCGACGAGCTTGGCCATGGCCGAGTAGCCCTTGGGCTCGCCGTACTCGGCGAGCGTCGACGTCCGCGTCTCGCGCGAGCCGTCCTTGTGCTCAATCTCAAACTTGTGCTGCAGCATCACCATGTCGCGCTCGCCCTCCTCGAACTGCATCTTCTTCTCCAGCGTCGCGCAGAGCGTGTCGAGCGGGTTGCCGCGGGGCGTAATCTTCTCGTCCGAGAAGACGCCGATCCACCGCAGGCCGCTGAGGATGCGCTGCTTGTCCTCGGGGGACTCAAAGTGGGCCTTTGCGACGATGGCGGCCTCGAGGTCACTCTCGCTGCTCGAGGCGGCGCCGACGACGGCCTTGGTGGCGTCCTTCCACGCAATGGGGCTGGCAAGCGTCTCCTGGGCGGCGTCCTCGAGGAAGCCAATGTCGACGAGGACCTTGATAAACTGGGGGAAGCCCTGGTAGCGGAGGGTACCGCGGACAATGGTCTGGGCCTCGGGGATGTTGTAGCGCTCCTTGTAGGGGGTAGAGTCGCGGTTGGGGTAGGCGACGAAGGCGTAGCCCGGGTAGATGAAGTAGGGCTTGGCGGTGGCCATGAGGTCCTTGGAGGAGACGTCGACGACCTGGCCGTCCTTGTAGTACTTAGCCGCGTTGCGGAGGGCGAGCAGCACACCGCGGGAGGACCACGAGAACTTGTAGCCGAGCGGGTTGTCTGAGGCCTCGGGGGCAGGGAGACCGCCGCAGTAGGAGAGGAAGGAGAGGATCTTGCCGCCCTCACGGTGGACCTCCTCAATGGTCTTGACGGCGTACAGGTGGTCGATACCGGGGTCCAGTCCGATCTCGTTCATGACGGTGATGCCGGCATCCTTGGCGGCCTGGTCCAGCTCCATCATGGCGGGCGAGACATAGCTGGTGGTGACGACGTGCTTCTTCTGGCGGATGGCCGACTTGATGACGGTCGCGTGGAAGGTGTAGGGGATCAAGCTGATGACGAGGTCATGCTTGGCCACCTCGGCGTCGAGGGCCTTGTCGTCGTTGACATCGAGAGAGATGGGGGTGGCGTGCTTGACGCCCTCGGACAGCTTCTTGGCGGACTCGAGGGTTCTGCAGGCTGCGTGTTGAGGAATTAATTAGTTTTCAGTTACTCTAAGTCTGGCGGTTGATATCGGGTGCCTTCATATCTGGTTCGGGCGGGTAGGGAGGAAGAGGAGGAGACAGTGGCGGTAGTGGTGGTAGGATGAGGAGCTTCGTACCAACGGTAACGGGGATTCCGGCATCGCTGAGGATGTCAAGCGTCGGCCGGGTCACGAAGCCCGCGCCGAGCATCAAAACGCTCCTATTGTCATCAATCCATTAGCGACTGGAAGTTGTTTGGGAGTTAAGCATTCGACGGGAGTATCAGGCTTACTGGGATGCCATCTTGAAATTCAACTAGTTTCTTCCGGATGATGATGGTATCGTGGTTGAACTTGATGCAACTTTTTTGGTTGTTCTGTGTGAGTCAATCCAGGTTCCGACAAGCAGTAGCAGCAGCAGCAGCAGCGAACGGAAGAAGAGGGGTAAGCCAGAAAGGGAACCCACCCGAACTTGGACTCGAGATTGACGGGAGAGAAGCCGAACTGGAGCCCAATTATTTTCTCTCAATGTCGTAATTCGCGATTCGTGACTCGACGAGCGAGGAAAATTTCCAAAGCATCCATGGTGGGGTAAAGAACTGAAGGTGCCAAGTTCGATCCGATAACGGCGGCTGTTCCCCCTCGACCCCTCATCATTGGAGTCTAAAACTCTCTGATGGAAGGTTCACTCGCCACACATACTGCGTAGTCAGAGACGGGCAGCAAAGAGATGGAGGTGCACGCTCGGTATTCGTACGGATAACCTCGCACAGTACGGTGGGAAAGGAGAGGACGGGAGGGGAGAGGGAGGGAGGTGGCTGGGTGTGCAACTGGGCTACGGTGAGGTCACCAAAAGAAAATTTCTAGGGGCCACGGGCGGGGTGTTTTGACCCGGCAGGGCTGGCCAGAACGGCGGGGGCGGGGAGCTATTTCTCTCGGCTGATTGGACAACTAACAAAATGTGACAGGGGAGACTTGGACCCACATGCAGCTCATGCCATGCCTCGACAGGGGTGCCATTCGGGAGCCTCTTTTTCGCTTATTTTTAGTGTCCGCGTTGACGATTGCACTTCCAAATTCCATTCCATCCGGCGCCTCTGTCACCATGTAATCCTCGTGGTCGTGTTGGCCGCGTTGGTGCAGCTGTTGCAAGTTTGTGATTATCAACTAAGCGGCAGCTATTACTGTGATTCTAGGAATCACATTGGAGGGCGAAGGGATTATGCAGAGTGTAGGTATATGTTTTGTTTTTCGCTTTACGCGTTTTGATAGTTTCTATCTAGGCGCTTTTCATGGGCCTTTGCCTTTTGTGACGCCAGGGCCACAGATTTGGCCCATGCTTCTATCTTTGGGTATTTTGCCTTTCCATTCATCTTCCTCGCTTCTTTGACATGAGGAGCATGCATAGTGATGCTCCGTCTCTGCGGTCCCCAAAGATCCCCCAAGCCCGATTCTTGATGGTACATCTTCTTGATATCATACAAAGTCTACAGGGTTTCGTCGTAAAATCATCAAACGCTTGCGCTGGTGTTGTAATGTGTGAGAGTTGTCCTTTCCCTTTTGGTCGTGTCATTAATCCGAGTCTTCGCCATCAGCATCGTCCTGCTCATCCTCATCCTCGTCATCGCTCTCAGGAGGCTGCCACGACTCCTCAAGCTTCAGGCCCTTACCCGTACCCTCCAGAGGGCGGAAAGAAACGCCCAGCAGCGAGGACATGGCAGAGCGAGATGTGTCGAGTTGCGGGTCCTGATCATACTTGTCGGGGGCGTCATAGAGTCCCATGCCCACAAGGATCTCTCCCTCCTCCTCAGGCTCGTCGAGGGGTTGATAAGGGATAGTGTCCTCATTCGGGACGATAGGTTGGGGCTGCTGGGCCTGCGGCAGCGTTTCGGGGGTGGGCGGAGAAGTGCTAGTGAAGCCGTGCACATGGTGCGAATTCCATTGTGTCGAGGTGGAAGACGGCGTAAGATCCGGGAGCGTAGTTGGTAGAGATGGGAAAGGCTCAGCGTAGCCAGTGTTGTCTGAAGAGACGTAGGCCGGTGGTGCTTGAGGAGGCACGTTCCAGCCCTCGACAGGCAGGTAGTTGGACCCATCATATCCTCCAAAAGGGAGTGACAAAGGGGAGAATGAGGCAACAGGTGAGGTGTTGCACGAGTAGGCTGCCGGTGTTGGTGGGAATTGCTGGTATACGTGGTAGCTGTCCGTGTCATATGCCGACGTGACAGGAGGGAATGGGTATTGTGCCACGCTCTGAGGGACGGCCATCTTCTGTTGTTGAAAGGTCGAAGGGTGCCAGCTGAGGGGACGACTCGGTCGTGACTGAGATCCATAGTCGGGCATCGGGACTTGGTCCATGGGCTGCTGCCTCCGCCTCGCCAGGTTTCCATCGTTCACCACAGTCCTCCTCCTTGCCTGCACGGCTGCTGCTGATCTCGGGCTGTTGCTGGCGCTGGTGGGCTTGGCTACACGCATGGCTCCTGCGTTGCGTTGTCCGTTGGAGCCTCGAGATAGTCTCCGTGAAGCCTGGGAGATGGCCATTTGTCTCGACAAGTCGTCCAGAAAGGTGTCGGTGTGATAGGGTGTGGGAACGGGCCCAGGAAGAACGCCTCCCATAAGTGTGGGCATCATCTTGTTTAGTGTATGTGTGTGTGTGTGTGTAGTAGGTGCCAGACAAATGTTGTGTTGTGGTAAATAGAGATGGTGAATGAAGATGGGAGAGGTTGCGGGTTGTTTGTTTCTTAACTAAGAGTTCCTAGTCGTAGGACATGCGGTAGATGATGATGATATACGTGATATGGAAAGGACGGACTCAGCCCAGGCTATGTATGGACAAGAGGTCATGGTCCCAAAAGGCCCAAGGGATTACAGTAGCGAGAAAAGACATGGGTGATACTAGATCGGTCTTGAAGGATAAAATCAAACCTTAGCTCCAGTATCCGTACATAGAGGAGCAAGTCGCCCAAGGGTGCGAAGTGGGCCAACAAGTAATTCAGACCATGAACGGTTTGGCATGTGTGTGTGTGTGTACTTCGTACCAAAAGGCTGCGAGCGCGGGTTGCTTGCATGGGTGGAGGATGGGATGTTGATGGGAGGTATCCGCGCAGCCAGCGCAGGCGGCAGGCGTCCCAGGCGTGGCTGGCCAGGGGCGGTACGTACTGTTTCCGTCTTTCTTCGTGTGAGTGCTTGGGGTACCGGTATGGGTGTGTGCTCCGTAACTGAGGTGAGTGCGGACTGCATAGTATGGGAACGAAGAAGGTGTCTGGGATTCTAGGTACACTAGATGGTAAGGGGGGCGGCCAGCGGGCTGCGTCATATTGGTTGAGCATGGATCTCACCTCGGAGCGTCGTGCATTTCAGAGTCGAAGCAGACGAGGCGGCTGATTCCCTTTGGGGCTTGAGGTACCTCTTAGAGTAGGTACTCCACGACCGCCGGGGGGGGGGGGGCACGTCCATATGGGTGGAGGAGAGGAAGAGGAGGGAGGCACTGGGAGTCTGGGAGGAGTGAAGCATGGGACAGACTTGTCGATAGCGCTGGTGTGCGTGTGGGCAAAGCAGCGGTGGGTGTGGATGTGGATGCGGAAGTGGATAAGTGGTTGATTGCCTCGCCTCGCTGGTCTCGCTGCCCTGGTACTCTAGCCTAGATTGTGTGGCCCTGGCCTCTCTGGCACACCGTAGCGTGTGTATGGGCACGAGTGGACACTCACCCACCAGACTCTGGACTCTCTGGAGGAGGGATGGATGGTTGAATGGATGGACGGATGGGATTACTGTGCTAGGGAGGGAGCGTCGGCGGTGGGTGGATGAATGGAGTGTGGAGCAAACCAGGTTGCGGTACCAATGCCACAGGACGCTGTGTGCTGGCCAGGACTGAGGACTCGGTGGGTGCCGTCTGAGTGAGGAGTGAAGGAGTGACTGACTGAGTGAGCGTCGCGTCTTCATTGTTTGGGTAACAGAAGGCAGCTGAGATGGGACATTGGACAGCCCCTGGCGACAGAGTACGTACTGCCTAAATTCCCTTCACCTCGCACCGCGCCATGCCAAACCGACTGTGACTGCAGTGCCATGGCGGGATGCAAGGTTCGAAATGTACGACCAAGACAAAGTGCCTGAGGGACAACGGCACGCAAGGTATCGTCCTGGTCAACGGGTGAGCAGGCACAGGCCAGGGGGCCAAGGGGGGTCAGGACAGGGCATCTGATTCTGATTCTGAGCAAATGGCTGGGTCTTGGGAAGTCAGGTCTTGGGAGGGAAGACTCAAGACTGAGAGGAGAGAGTCTAGCACTTCCCGGTACCCAAGTACTTACTGCAGCAGCCCCAGAGATGGATCATGGTCCATTAGAAGGGGGGGCTTCACGAGCGGCGGGCGGTCAAGGACGCAAGGAAACCAAAGAGAAGATGGATGGAATGTCCTTGGCCCCAGAAAGAACCGCTCGGCCCAGGCGCTCACGCCGCCAGGTCGGAGTCTGGGACTCTGTGAGAGATGCTATCCCTGCTTGCGTCTCGTGCAACACGACTGGACTGCGGTACGGATACCTTCCAGGTTGCTGCTCTGGGGCAGGGATACAAAGTACGAATACCACCAGCACCACCTACGAACCACACAGCGCTAAGTATTCGTACACGACAAAGTAGTGCCACCAGAGAAAAGTGTGCCGCCTCCCTTCCAGGGACCCAAAAGTTGAGAAGGGGTCCAAGGGAAACCACACGCGGCGTCGCGGCAGGTCTTATCCCCTTGACCCTGGGGGTGGACTTATTGCATTGAGTCGTTCAAGTCCCGTCACCGTCTGACCAGTCACAAGCCGCCGTCGAGGATGAAAACACCCCGGTACGCCTAGGTAGTTCGAACTGACGGGTCGGATGAGAAGGGGCGTTGCAGTGCTAGCCCTTCGGGGATCTAGGTATGGAACCCAAGGGGAGAGACACCCGCTCCTGGGACCATAAATCCATGACCGTCATCCCTCTAAGGCTCCAAGCCTCAAGCCTTCCCTCCCACTTAGGCCCCTAGCACGGGGACGCTGGTATGTGAAGATGGGGATGTGCATCTTGCGGCTTGCCTTTACATGTTTTGGTGGTTTCCGGGAAAGTGCCAATTACCTAGCTGCCTACCATTGATAACTGAAGACACAATGTCCGTACGCATACCTACAGTGGTGTGTGTGTGTGTGTGTGTGTGTGTGTGTGTGTGTGTGTGATCAATAGACCCTCCTGTCTGCTAACTTGGAAAGGAGGAACTTGCAGTGCGACCACGGCATGCGCTTCTGGTACCGAGCCGGCTGATGACTGGCAACATCGTGGAAATGAGACAAAGATTCATCTGGTCCTTTCTGCACTAGGAAGCATCGTTGAGTCGTTGTCTTTAAAACGGAGCGGAAAACTTTCTAACCATCGTACGGTCAATACTCCGTTTAGAAAGATCCAAGGCAAAAGGAGAAAGAAAAAAATAACATGCGGAAAGCACAGACTTCTGAAATAACCACGATCTCCATCGGGGTCTGGTCTCAGGGCGCAGAAGAACTTTGAGAGAAGCACGGAGATGGCTCCGCATAAGGGAACCCCTGGTCGGGCAGTACGTACTTGTTCGAGAAAGCAAGCCGGCTGCCAGGTAAGGTAGGTTGTCGGCAGAAACTTTGCAGGCTATGATGCGATGTATGCTTCGATCACTTCCCCAATGCCGTACGCAGTATACGAGTAGACGGGTTCCAAATCGGATTTGTGGTATTTGTTTGACTCACGTCTGCCGACCAGACCATGCTTTTGGCGTCTACCAGACAAGACTACCATGTATCCGTAAGAGAAGGACTGTAGTTCCTTGCTGGGCATCGGCATTGGCCGTGAGAGATCGTACGGATGCGCGTGCAATAGTCTACCGGTAGGAGGACGTGCATGCGGAGTCCATACAGGGACGATTTCAAGCCCTGTTGAGCGACAGCTCAAGGTACGAAACGGAACGTTGATTGTTTGCAGCCATCCTTGCGGTCAAAATGGGGCGTTTGCCAAGAGGGTGTGTGAGCGTCGACTGACAAGCCGCTTTCCAAAAGGATGGTAGGTGGGACGGATGGGAGCGGATCACAGATCTCGCTCAACCGACAGTGTTGGTTTGCAGTTCTATCTATACACCCCTTGGCCCTGGACTCTGGAAGATGGTTTGCGGAGACAGCGGCGAGAGGCGGTACGGGTTTTGTTAGGTACCTAATCGAGCGCAGCATGTATGTGAGAGTTGCGGCTTTGGTATTTAGGTGTGGATGTCGTGAGTAACGTGTCGCCTTCTTGGCTCTTCTTCCAAGCGTCAACAACAGACGGAATGGAGAACACGGTTTGTACACGTACGGACACCCAGGTAGGTGTCAAAACAACTGCGAAGAAACAAGCCAAAAGCTAGTCAGCCGATTTGAAAGAGTTGCCGCAGGTTATCTCATTCCAAGGGGACAGCTTAATTGGCAACACTCCGTCCGCCGGGCAGGACAGCCTATGGGCTAGTCTCATTGTTTCGCTCAGACTTTCTTGGTGAGGAATCCGTACGGAGTACGCTGAATGGAGCTTTGGGATGCATCCGCTTGAGTCTTGTGTTGTGCAAGCTGAGCGTGACGAGGACTATGAATTAACCGGAGGCGGTGGATGCGCATGTCCTGGACAGGAATAGAGTGGTGGCAGCCCGAAAGCCATGGGCCGTGTTGTTGCAGTGAATGGCGAGTGGGTATTAGTTGATGGTTTTTTTGATGCTTTCCGGAGACGCAGGCGGCGTGCTTTGATCACGCTCATCAGCCCCAAGTGGTCCGGCCGAGATTGTCTTGATGACCAGGTCATGCAAGCATAGGCTTGAGTCGTAAACGTGGGTGTCATCGGTCATGAGAGAGGAAGAAAAAAAAGTTGCGTATCCGTAGACGGGTCTGTCGATAGATCCCCATCGCGGACATCGCGGGGGCTTCAGGCTTCAGGTTTCAGCCAGTGACATGTCGAGGTGACAAGCCATCATGGTTCCTCCACAGCAGGTTCCATCCATGATCGTGTCTATCTAGATGAGGGAGGCGAGCATGGACTGTTTCTTGGTTTCGGCAAGCGGGTGCGGGCAAAAAGTGTGTTGGCAAGACAGTCCGACTCTCGACCGGGCAAATTGGCGGCAGATTGGAACGTGGGATTGCGAAACCTCCGATATGGATCATGGATGTCGACGCAAGAGGATGTTAAAGACGCTCACACAGCCAGCGGCCGAGGAATAACTAACAAAGGCAGTTAGTTGGTCGATGAATGGAAGATGGTTGGGCGGCATCACTCAGCCTGCTTGGCGGAAGAGTACTGTGTACCGGTTGTTTAGCTGGCAACTGCGTTGTGAACCAAAGTATACCGGTACGCAGCCATCCGCTTTTTCTTTCCGAGCTTGGCCCCTCCTTCATGCCCAGTCCTCAAACAAGAGTCAGCTGTCCCACCCGGGCGTAGTATGCGTTGCGGGAGCTGTAGGGTGCCGAAGGTCCAATTCCACAGGCATGGGCATGGTGTCTTGTGTGGACAGAGCACAGTCAATGTCCATAGATTGGAGAAGAGCAAAAGGAGGAAAGGCGAAGAGGGTACAAGGAAGATTGGGGGGGGGGGGGGGGGGGGGAGATGGGGGGAGAAAAACCCACAGCGGGGGGGGGGGGGGGGGGGGGGGGGGGGGAGGGGAGGGGGGGGTGGGGAGAGGGGGGGGGGGGGGGGGGGGGGGGGGGGGGGGGGGGGGGGGGGGTTGACACTTGAGGTAAGAAACGCCAAGCCGGCGAGGAGCGGTTCATGGCAGTAGTGGCAGTACTGCGTACCTTCCTCCGTAGCAAAGTTAGGTACCTCAGAAAAGATGAAAGAAGAAGAAGGAAGGTTACGAAGGTGCGGTAACTCGTCAGGAAAGAGAGACGGGAAGAATGCGCGACAAGGTAGTCAATACTTGGGACATAGTGAGACATCAATGGAAACCCAGGTAGTGGAAACCTTCCACACCACCCCCCTTTACCAAGGAGGGAGCCCCAACCCCCGGGAATATGAGAAGGAGTTCAATCCTATCCCATCCGCTCCGCAACAAATATAGCATCGCTGCTGCCGCTTGTGGATTCGTAGGGACACTATACGCAGTAGTAGGGCGATACAGTAGCAAACGTCAACAGGGACGGGAGTTTGAGAGGATCAGGACCACAACGACGGGATCAATCAAGGGCAGCGCCTGCTCTCGAGCCCTGACAGCGCAATGCGCAGTAAGGTACATACTTCGTACTTCGTGGAGAGTAGAGACAGACAGGGCGAGAAACGGCATGGCATGCGGCCAGACACGAGGCTCAAGGACGGAAAGAAGGGACCCAGAGAAGGATCCAGGGGCACAGGCCAGGGCGAGGCAGTAAGGTAGGCACGCATCTTTGTCACTCTGTCTCCATACTCCGTACGGATAGTTGGAGTCAAATTGGAGACCGTAACTTGCAAGTTTTGTGCTGCGACCTGACTTGCCTTAATTGTCTAGCGTCTACGGAGTAATTGCTTGTCACTTCCGTGAAGTCAAAGTGGGCTGCGGCAGACTGTGTGACTAGCATACGGAGCGGAGAGAGGGAAGGAAGAAGAAAAAAAAAGCAAAAAAAAAAAAAAAAAAAAAAGATACGGAATCGCCCCTCTCCTCTCGAGCAGAAGTCAAAAGGCGGCTGCAGTTATTGACGGCCCCCACCCCATACCCAGGCACAAATTATGGAGGAAGGTTTGCGGGCAAAAATGACCAAGATGCACCGCAGCAGGCACATAAGGTAGTTTCCGGACAGCGAAGACGGAACTTCCATGGCTGGGGAAAGTATCCGTAAGCAAGCGGCACGTACTGTCAAATTTCGAACAGCCGCCCATGGATGATGAACCTGAGCCAAATTCACTCTGTTGCCTAGGTAGGTATCCGAACCTGGCTTCATAGTCACATCCTAATGTCTTGGAATGTATACTTTACAAAGATTGCAGGAAGGGGCCTTAGGTAGTGCAGGAGGATGGCGCCCAAAAGGAGAAGGCAAGGCATTGCAACCTCAGGCAAAGATAGTGCCCAAGAACATGAACACAACGAGTGGGGGGGCACTTGCTTTGCTGTTGACTCAAGGCTAAAGAGGGAAAGACACACAGGGATTATGTGGCCTCAGGCATAAGGTCGGCCAGCCTGATGTGGTGCGAGGTGGACTTATGCATCCCGCAAGACTTGAGCTTGTCGACTCCAAGTTCCAACGAGAGAGACTTCAGCTAACGTAACTCGGCACCACCACGTACCACTAACTATGTCTGTACGGATACACCACCGCACACCAACAATCTGCATGCCCGTCACTTGTCTATCCATGGCCCATGCTACAGATGGAGACGCCCGTCATCTGAGGCGAGCCCGCGATTGGAGAGTTTGGACCCATGCACCACCACATTTCTCAGCACCCCATTACCCAGTCTCTACTGCGGAGGCCGGTAATCTTTTTTCTCCAGGCCATGTTCCAACTTTCAGCGCTTCTTCTGCCCCTGTCTACGCCAGTACGTCCGGTACCCAGTCTCACCGACAACACCCCCAGGCCGGCCTACCCTTCCTTCTAGGGGTATGAGCTTCCTTTTAGAAGGGGGGCACGGGGATGTTGCGCCCCTTGCGGTGTGTGTGGACGCCAATACTGGGCCAATATCGGTGGCATTTGGAGCCTTGAGCAAGCCGACGGCCTGTGAAGCGAGCTCTTGTTCCACCTTGGCTAGGTCTCCTGTGGTATCAGGCACGATGTCTCGAGCCCATGACTGCTGCCCTGGGAAGTTGAGAAATGGGCCCCAGCCGATCTTCCCTCACGCCCCGCCCCGAAAGACTAGCAAGCAAGCTCCTCCATCCGCGGCTGTGCTTCAGGCCGTTCCCTCCCATCTGAAGATGTCCGGACGTATGACATGGACGCGCATTCAAGGTCTGATGGGCCAAGCCATTGGTGTTTTACTCGCCATTGCTAATTTTTGAGGCCAGCCTTGCTCCGAGACTTCAGAGGTCACACTCGAGAATGCCTGCCGACCAGAAGACCAGAAATGCCATGCCGACCCTATTCGTACATCACGATCTGGAAACAAATTACCAAGTCTTCTAAAGACCCGGATAACCACCGGCAAGCTCATGGACGAGAGCGCCGGGTGCCAGGCACAAGCTGGGCATTACTACGGGCTGTGCGAGAAATGCGGTCCAGTTGGCCCAACGAGTCGATTGCAGCCTGCTCGTCTATGATGGTGCGCACTACGAAGTACCTCACACCTTTTCTAGTTGCTGGACAAGCCAGGCAACTTCCGGACATTGCACCCAAGGCTTTGGCAGCCGCTCTGGCTCTTGGGTTCCCACCAGTCCCTGTTCCCAGACAGCTTCGAGAAGGTTGAAGTGGACAGGCCGCAGGTGATCCGAGATCGAGGGGTCTTGTCCGCTCCACGAGAGGAGATTACCTTATGGTCAGGGAAACCACGGTATCGATAAAGCGGTGGCTACAATCGGTGGAGAAGCCCTGCCACCGTGCCACCCTGGTACTCCCCGAATCCCCAGGACCAATTTCCACGTCACTCCTCACTTTGGACGTCCAGCGGTTAGAGATCAGCTTCCGCAGATGCCATTCCACCCAAAGCCTGCTCTGGACTGCCCGGCAAGCGCTGAATCGCATCAACCATCAAAGCACAGGCACTGACAGGGACTCCAGGCCAAGGTACCACGTTGGTAGGTATGGATCAGCAAGACTCGTTGGCTTGCGTCCGCTCATTCGCTCCCTCGCCTTGCTCCAATCTCGTGCGGCAACAGCATGGAGTTCCCCTCGATCGTTACAACGTCTGACGTCCACCTGTGGTTTCTTTGTCTCACCTTCTCTGTGCGCCTGCGGCCTTCCTGTCGTGGAATCCCTCGCCGCCGTCAACTTTTGTCGTCTTGTTCCGCTGGGCCACCTCGGCCAACGCAACCCAGGAAATACGTACGGATATACGGAACTGTGGCGCGGTGGGTACAGACCCTACAGGACAGGCCTCCATTTCACGCTCGCATTCCTCTCACCACTGACCAGCAGGAAGCCCACCTGGACAGCGGACGCGAGGGGCTCCCTCCAGGAGTGGCGGCCTGGACTGGCCTATTTAGTCATTCTGTTGCTCATCATTGCCAATTTTCCAGGCAAGCCGCCAAACCCACCAGCTATGAGTGTCCGCCTGGCGGCTGGCGCCCTTTACTCCAGTCTCACTTTAGGCATAGCCATCGGGCAATCACCTGGGCGTGTATTGGGCCGTACTTTGGGGTGCTACACCACTACGGACACATTAGCACATTGGCGGTGGTTGACAGTGTACGAAGTAAGTGCTTGCTGGATTGCCAGCGACGTCCGTACATCTAACCTACCTACACTTGACTGCTTGCAGCCCGGTTACGCTGGAGGTGTGCATTTCCTCCGCCCTGATTACCGCAGATGCATATAGATATGCGTCCGGTTTGGACCCTCCTGATTTCTGGTGTGTATTCGTACGAAGTATGCACATGGACTACTCTAGTCTCGGTTTTTTGTCAGGGTGCCACAGTCCGCCAACATGTATCCCTGACACGCTCTCCAGACTCCAGCCGGCGCATCAAGCGGCAACAACACCGGGGAGCGGGCAAGCCTGCCGATTGTTAGGCTTTCAACAAGACTGGTCCAACAGCGTTTGGGGTGTTTGAGTGCTAATAAGTCTCATCGGAATATCAGAATTTAGAACGGGAGGGGGCCGGGGTCGACTGAGGGTCTCCGCCTTCTTCGTGTCCTGCGGCTGCAACTGCTGCACTGCTACAGCGTGCACTCAGGCCGCACCTTGCAGCCTGCATACGCATCTAGGTTTTCCATTCTTCTGCGGGCTACATACAAAAGATGGTCTGGGATTCTGGGTCTAGCCGCCCTGGATTCACCCAAGCACGGCGGTCTGTGTGAGATGGGACCCGTGGTCTCGCGACGCACACACGCACACAAGAACACACGAGACACTGCGCACGTGACCTCGTTGTCGCCTCGCTCGCTTCCATCGTTGGATTTCCTTCCATCTTCGTTTCATCCAAACGCCATTAACGGTACGTGACCGAAGGCTTATCGATGCCACAGCGGTTCAAAGTTCTACTTCTCGGAACACGCCCTCCACCCCTCCCCAGATGGCAACGGATCCCTCCCGTTTCCCGGCTGAAGTCTTTCTGCTCCCATCAGACGGATCCCCCAGGACAGACGGTGCTTGGGTATTATTTTGCGTTAACATAAGCAAGCGTTGCGCAGTGTTTGCCGCCCAATCATCTTGTCGCCCTCACACCCTCACCTTCGCCTGTGTACCTAGATCTCATGCCCGGCGAATGATCCAGGGAAACTTGCCCCTGCTACCACCACGTCACCCATTTCAATCCTTCGGCTGCTGCTGAGTCTTGGGAACGTTCCATCCGCTTGATTGGTTGCATCATTGGGCCAATGGACAGCAATGCTCGGTTTCGACGTTCTGCATCACGCCGTCACGTCGTATGAAAGCATCGTGCCGCGTGCCTGCCATTCTCATCCAATTTAGGCCTCGTCGATGCACATTTGACATCCCAGAAGCTTCCCGATACCCGGTGAGCTATTGCAGACCTGGTTGAATCATCTGTGGAGCCTTGGCAACACTCTGTACTCCGTACAGTCTGCACTACTCAGTACTCACCAAACCCCGTGGCCCTGTCCTGGCTTACGACCAAACCATTGTATGCGTCGCTTCTCTGCCACGTAATTAGCAACGACACCAATCGTCCTGGCTCGCTGCCCACTCAACCTTTTTCCGGCAGTAGGAGGCGCGAGCAGGGCTTGTTTCGGTGGTGTTCCTAACATCAGGTAAGGTAGGCATTTGAACAGCGCCTCGGTCATTCGAAAGTTGACGCCCTGGCTCAGTACCTTAGCCTTCAAGGTTCATGGACCACCTGCCTGAAGAGGCGAGATCTCTTCAACATCCATCCATCTCCCTAACGTTCCCCGAAACGGAGCCAAATACGATTCACTAGCGATGGTTCGAAGCTTACGGACAGAGGTACGGACAATAGTCTCTTCATCAATGGTGTTTATGGCGGCACGGTGCCGCCTTCACCCACCGCGTGCGGATATCAGGTAGGTGCAACAACCCGGTAACAGAATAGCCTCGCGGTCACAAGTCCCTGTCACTTGGCTTACCCTGTAAGCAGTGAGCAAGTATCCTCTACCTTGTATGCCCATCCAAAGGCTAGTAGTCTAGTGTCAGCCAACTTTTCAGATCAGCAAGGCGAGCCCTGCTGAAGCGACATCCCTGCACCACTGAGATACCGGTAAACGTCTGCGCGGAGACGGCTAATCAGAATTAGCTTGTATGCCGCCAAGTACCAACTGCACCTATACATGTCTCTCAATCCAAACGGATATACCCAAAGCGCTACTGCCAACATTCCGCTGCTGACGTCCGGCTGGTCACTGATTCCCTCGCTTCACAAACTTCATAAGGGTTATGCCGTGGGCCCTGGAGACCTTGAAACCTAATGCAACACTTTCTGCGCACATGCGCCTGCGGCCTGCCTAGGACAGCATGATCTTCAGTGGAATATATCACTCACTTAGACACCCTGGGCCTACCACCTCATCGTTGGAAGCCACATTGGCCAAGACTTTCGACTCATCTACCTATCTGGCTACTTACACAGTACGTCTGCGCCTTCATCCTACCAACGTTCAAGGCCCAACACAGTATGGAGCACACTACCGTGTTATTCAAGGGTGATCACAGCCAGGCGAGACCTTTTCAAAGTCTGAGCCATTGAGCCCTGCCATTCCCAATGGCCGGATCACACGGCTACGATCCGTGTGCCACTTAGACTTGTCACAGAAGTTGTCCTCCAGCATCGGCGTGTCTTGTCACCGACTCATCATCTTCCGCCCAACACTGCGCATCAACAGTGCACTTTGCCAAAGACTCGACCGAGTCGGGCTTACGCCGATTTGTTTCCCGCGTCTCCGTCGATGGTTCGATACTGACTATCCGTAGGTATCACAACTCATAGCCCACATTCCCTTTCAAGCGTTCACATACGGGCACGCTTCGTCCCTTTCACGGCCGCCTTTCAGTTGACGACTTAACGAAGGTTGGAAATCCTCGCCGTCACGTTCTCGCTCGTGCACCAATACGAAGCGGTGATCAAGATAAGGCAGGCTCACTTTCCGAGCCACATTCTCGGGGTTGCTAGAATTATGGCTGTCAGCTCTGTGCTGTGCCCACCCGCGCCACAAGGACGCGTGGCTGATTGAAGCTCTCTCGATTTAAGACGACGACACGGATACGCTTCCTTGATACCAGAGGTCTCCCGATTTCTCGAGGAGGTCGGTGCCCTTCGGACAGCAGCCGTCTCTCCTTACCTGCGCATCATGTACCGGGACCAAGTTCGTAAGGATACTGAAGGCCAGCGATCCTACTCCTTGTCAGTCGGCGGAAGTCTGTTCGACCATATTTGGTTTCGTGCACCAGGTCACTTAGGGGCGTGGCTGGATAGACAAAAGCCAAACTTGCTTCCGCGAGATGATCAGCATGCAATTTTCCTTAATCGCGCACGATTGACGAGCCTTGACCCCCGCCCAATGCATTATCCGTATGTACACTACATACGAAGACCCGGTGCTGGGCCGTCTACCTAGGTACCTATTTGATCCGGATGTGAACCAGACAAGAAAGCACGCACGCATGGTCAACTCCGCTGGTATCTGATCGATCTTGAACGCTCACGTCTGATGCCCCAACTTCACTGCCGACCTAAGCTATTTCAATACACACTGCTTCGATCCTCTAAGTCTTATCAACCCAAGATAAAACGTATTGTACGGATACAGGGCCAGGGGTATCTCTGGCATGGCGGACGACACCATGAGGGGTGCCTCCTCTTCTTCCATGAGTCACCAGGCTTTCACCTCAAATACGAAGACAGCGTTGGGTTGGAAGAAATCAGTGAAGACGGCGCAAAGCAATTCCTGCCAGGTGACTACGACCCGCATGTTGCACAAAACGGGGCGTTAAGCTCCAGGTTACCACCAAGTATGGGGTCCGCAACAAACTAATAACAGCCGCAAATCACTGACGTGTTTATTGCTAGCAACGAGACCTTTCGG